CCATAACCACTATGTTTTCATAAATTTCTCATGATTTGCTACGTGTCGAAAATTAGCGAATTGCTTTGAAAAATCAGTGAATCATTTGGCTTCTCGTTTATGTGCTCGTTTGTTTTTCAAAGTAAAGCATCCTGTGGCTTTTTGTGTGCATATACATGTGCAAGCAAATATCTTGGAAATTGATATACCCATGTGGACTGACAATATACAATGACTTAATGTATTATTTCCATACGGTTTTGGAATTGTGTTTTTAAAGTACATGCTGTCTCAGTTATTTGTCATTGTTGCCTCTCTGTATTCTTCATACATTCTTTCAGCTATCGATGGCAGACTTTCTTTTATCCAAGTGTCTCATTTTCAATTAACTATTGTCATGGCACTTATTATTACTAAATAATTAGAATTGTGAATGTTAAACTCAGACATGCCACACACCAATAATCTAAACAGCTGTCTTTTGATAAAGTTGTTTAGGCAGTGTTGTCACAATTTTTAGGCACTGCGAGGTAGCCATAGTGCTCTTTAACCTGTAGGTAAAATATGATTAATATAACATTAGTTGGGCTAAAAATAGCATTTCTCTTAGCATCTATGTCACTGTTTTAATATTCGATTCAACTGTAGTGTCATTAATCATCTGGCAACACATTCCAAAGATGTTTTCACATGACTCTGAAACAACCTGGGGGATCTTTTCAGTTGAATGTCACTTCCTCAGTTATCTTCTCAAATAAAAGCCATGCTGTTCTTGGTCTCCTGGCTGCTGTCTAGACCTATTTAGAATAGCTGCAAGAAAACCATTTAGAAAAGCACATCACTTCCCAAGGTGAAGACTTTTGCTTTAAAGGAAAGAAATGACATTATAGCTTATAAGCTGAAATGGTACCTTTAATATTTTAAGAGAATATGTGCATAAATGTGTGTGGCCCTTAAGCTTCCAATTGTATTATTAAATAAATTTATAGTTTGAGAAAATTCCATTAAGTCCATGAATGCAGCCCGATGATAATAGCATACTTCCAGTATGACATAAGCAAGTTTCAATTTCCTTCACCCTGTGGGATTTTGGAACTGTATTTATTAGCTTAATAAAAATGTAAATGTTGTAAAATTCACAGCTAACATAACACAAGGCCTGTCCCTAGTTGTTCATGAACATCATAAAATAAAATAAAAAGTTAGTAAGATTCCAAGCTTCCACATTCTTTTTGACCTTTTTGTGGGTGTGTAATGGATAAAAAGCATACTTTATTATTACACAGGAACATAGAACACGATAAAACATTTTTTTTCTTGAATGTCCAGGATGAAAAAAAAATCTGCCTATGGCATCAGATTCAATGGTGTTCAGCTGGTACTTTATCTTTCATGGAATAACAGTGATTAGATAAGATTCAGTGCTTTGCAGATTGTCTTTAAGTCATCAGCAGTAAAAGATGTTTGCTGTTGCTTTTCTCAATGTCTATTGACTTCTATTTCATGTTATCTACTTTTATTTGGGGTTGATGTTTGTCATGATCAGAAAATAAAGGTCTTTATCGTGGAGATAGGATATCACAAGAAAAAGTTGAGGCAAGTGTGTCGAAATCTGTGACAGATGACAGGCAGACAGGCCATACTTTATCTCTGGAAACACATCTATGGCCTTATGCATTTTAATAGGTATCTTGTTTTAGTTTCAGTTTTGCTCATTGAAAAACAAAACAAAAGGAACAAGGAAACATAATTCTGATTTTTTTTTACCTGTCTGTACTTCTGGATTGCATTTTTTCCGGCTGTGTTTTAAATCCATGTTTTAATGGATTTCTGAATTCAGGCAGTTTGATGTGTTGAGGGTGTGGGAAGCAATAGATAATAAAAGTACCATTTCAATATTCATTTCTACATAAAACTTAAATCTTTAGTTCTTCTCGTTTATGAGCATAGTGGAAAAAGTCTGGAGGTCAGGAAATGTTTTGATTTAGAGATAGACTTGTATCATTGAAAATTTCAATATAAAAGCTACACATTTTTATGCATTCCATGTCTCTTTGCCTGCACTCAAAATTAATATCATTTCACAAGACATGTAGAATTAATTATTTAATTTGTCAACTAAGAAATGTTGCAACTGAAGGTTGAGTATTTTAATAAACATGCTACATATGTATAAGAGTGTTAGTCCTTAAATAAGACAACAGTGTTTTCTCATGTTCAGCTGTGGAATGTGAGATGTCAGAAGGAGCTTTTGATTCTTATAATTGCTACTGAACTCTAGAAATGTTGACACACATTGCTCAAACTTTTCTAAAGTTTCCAGTTGCATACATACTGTGATATACATTTACGTTACTGTGGTTAACAGTGAAAGACTTAAACATGCCCTTTGTGTTAGGTTGTTTTTGCTTTAGTGGATTTTTTTGCTGAATAAAATTTCATTTAGCAATCTACTTTTGCAGAGTTCATGTGAGTTAAATAAACAAAAATAATTTGTCATTGCATCAAGCACATCTGTTTTACAAAGTCACATACCTATGCCAAATCTGAATGTATCTTTCTGGAGTCACATTCCTTATTGAAAACATTAACAATGTCTAACATGTAGAACCTTAATAAACTGAGGGATAGATGTATAGAAATAGTAGGATACGCAATAATAGTAATACAAAAATATTTAATATTGAATAGTGTTTGATTTTTGCTATATGCAAATGTTACTAGTTCTTTATCTGATTTTGTGCATTCAAGAAATGTATTATAAAGAACAAAATGTTTACTTTGATTGTGAAAATGAATGTTAATCCAAATTATTTTATAACAAATGTGAAAGGACAATGTACACATTTAGAATATGAAAAGGTGTACCCTTTAGCCATTAATATGATACTCTAGTAGAACATTAAAGAAATCCAGATAAAATGCAATATATTCATTTTCAAGGCTCTATCAGAGTCTATGACTTAAAGAGAAGAAATCCAGTTGTTAAGAAACACCACCACTAAAACATTGCGTAAAGAAAACATATTTTCTAGCAAAAGTCTTTGTGAAAAAAAGTGTATGTATAAAAATGTAAATATTTTTAGTTGTTTCTGAATTCACAAATAACATCTTAATTTTATACATTTTGTAATGCTGAAATCACTTGCAAAACTGAAAATATCTTCAGAATTAAAATGGATAAGTAAATTACAGTATTTTGGATTAAACTTTGTAACAAATTCCCTAATCATCAAATAATTCTTAGAAAATTAACAAATCTTTGTCTACTACTCAATACAAATACGGTGTTTCTCTATAAGACAGACTTTCTTTTCAGTTTAATGCTTATGTTCAATGCAAAATAAAAAAAATCCAAACCATTTAACATCACGGTTTGTGTTTCACAAAAGAGTCATTTTCAATGTAAATTCCATGGAGTATTAGAGAACTTCATGCTAAATTCCAAGTATCGTATGTTACAAAAGAGGGTGAATAGCTAAGCAGATATATGTAGGTACTATTCCGATGATAATACAAAAAAGAAAGTTAAAGATAGGGCAAATTTAATTTAATCCACTGAATCTTTTCTCAGTGCACATTCTAAATAAAGTATTGCGACCATAAAACTCATTTCCTTATAATGAGCAAGCTCAAAATGAAAATACGTTTTCTAAACATTCTCAGGAGTCTGCTCTGAAGGTTTATCAGTGAAAAATTGTGCTTCCTGACCATGTGCAGTGTAGAATTACTGGAACACTTATTCTCCCAGACAGCTCCAAAGTCTGCCGTTTTAACAGGGCCCTTCCATCAACCTATAAAAGCAAAATAAATAGAAAAGAGACAGATTGTTTCAGGAATAAGAGATGGGGTAGGTATTGAAAAACAGCTTGGTACATACCAGATTTGAAATAACCTAGATCACCACGAGTAATTTGTCAAAATACCATTGAATAAGTAAAAATAGCTTTTCTCGTCTCTAAAGGACGCACACTATTGGTGTTATTATATTGTAATAGTAGTGGCGTTGGTAGTAAAGAACCAGCTACATTAGAATGTATAAAACAGTTGCTAAGATAAAGTTAAATTTTGATATATATATATACTGTTAAGGTTTATTCCATGCTGAAAACAGAAGAAAAGAAACAAAGCGTTTCTTTGTTTTTTTTTAAGAGGCTGTTCTTTGTGCTTCTCAAAGACTTCCTGACTCCAGCCTTACAGCGTTTATATTTTACACAGAAGGTGGTGAAAATTGAACCGATGAATTGTTGATAAAGAAGAGAATAGATAAAGCATTTAGTGTTGGATTACAAAAATGACACATAAATATATACAGGGAACATGTGATCCAGAAAACTGAATTCAGCTTTAATGCCTGGATTTGAGGTGAACGCCAGTTTAACTAGAGACCCGGGCATCTTGGAACTTGTACTTTATTTCCCAGTAACAGCATATGGGATTCTTTACTTGGTATTTCCAAGGTCAGTTTGCCTTCTTCCACTGCCATGGAAATAAATCTTCCTACTAACAAATGCATATGCATTACAGCTAGAGCACCATTGATCAGACCAACAGCTTCTCAAATACCACTTCCACGGGATTAGATATAATAGGAACTGGTTTTAATAATGTTACACCTGTCGACGTTTGTTTTCTTCATACTACAATGCTTCACACTACTAACGCAGATGTTTTAACTTGTTAAAAAGGTAATTTAGCTGGTGATAAGGATGTTCAATGAAAACAATATTATATAAAACGGATTTATTTAAAAATAAATATAAAATTACACTTTTTACATGAACCTATCAAATATGGGTTACAATTTACAAAATACTGAACAGAAAATGCACATCTCCCTTCTCAAATAATGTGTAAGAAATCAAAGTTTCTTTAAAAAGCAACAACATTGCATCAAAATTAGCTTTCAAAATACAATATGAAGGAATCATGCTTCCCAGAACATTTCAGATGTGCAGGGAAACTAGAGAATGTGTACAACACCTTTTTTGAGAAGATGCACTTCAAACAACCAACAACAATGATAATTCATGTCAGGATTTAGTTAATGAGTAAGAATTGGACTTATTTGTTCAATGGTGCTTAAAAAACACTTAAAAATCTCAAAAGCTGACTGGGCTATTAGCATCTGGGGGGGGGGGCTGCTGTTGAATTGTCTTTTTTTTGTAATTCAGGCCATTGTTTCCATTCAACCCCTTCTCTATTCAGGGAGGAACTTTTTACCCCCAGAGGTAGCACTTCTATTGCTCCCAATCAATCATGTCCAGCCTTTCACCAATATCACAGCCTTCTCGTTTCTCAAGACAAAACCACAGCTCATCTTGATTGAGGGAATAAATAGACCTGCCCAAGCAGAACGACCAAGGAACATTTGTCAACTGTAGTGGATGGCTATTGAGTTCAGAACAAGAACAAATCTGGGTCTTCACTTTACCAATCCCCATCCTTTGGCCTTCCTTCAGATAGCTGCATTGACTCTTGATTGAAGTCTCTCCTTCTGTCTCTTAGCAGCAATTGAGGAATGTTTCATACAGCCACGATGCTGACAAAACTTTATCTGTGGATTAAGGAAATCTCTTTGGAGTGTAGTGCTTTTTGTACAGTTGCCATCCTCCCTCTCTGCAGTATCAGTGAGTTACTGCACCAAGTCAGTTTATTTGCAGACGTATCTCTCCACAGTCCGTTCGCATTTCTTGCACGTGACATAACAGCACCAGTGGTACTTGCACTGGCATCTCTCCACCACTGTCTCAGTGTAAGCATTGTAGCCACGTCCACAGCACATGAGGTTGCAACTATCACTGCCATTGGATGTTTTATTACACTGCCTGTGGAGAAATAAAAAGTTGGTTTAACATACTTTTAAGGACTCCAGCAAAGGAAGGCCTCTTTGCATGAACACACAAAAACATATGCGCCATTAAAGATCTGTTAAGTACAATGGGTGATTCTCTGAAAGATTTAAAACATTTGAGTATTTCGGTAGATCATAAATATAATGTGGTTTTCAGGATGTTTATCCACATCACTGATTTGATATTCTCTGCACTGCAATAATTACATGCATACCTGTCTTGTGTGCCAAATGATCCATGCTTCTCATTCTTCATACAGTAATCAGGGGAACTGATCAAGTACACAAGCTCAGACTCTCTCACTGGTCTGACATCCAGCTCTCTGGGCACAAGTTGCTTCCTAGTCCCAACATGGCGGTGGATGACTTTAGTGGCGGCAAGATATTTGGACTTGAGGTCTGCGGCGATATCATTTATGTCATGGAGTCCCTTCCAGCATGTCTTTACAGAACAGGACCCAGACACTCCATGGCACTTGCATTTGGTTTCCATAGCATCAACGAGAGCCTAAACAAGAAAGAGTAATGACTGAATGATGATCGACTCAGATGAAATGCGGCCACCTTTTAAAAGTCGAAAAAATATCCTTTCTGCTTACCTGCCTTCCCACGGCATTGTTATGGAGGTGCATCAGCCTGACTGCCTGAGCACCAGACCTGCTGCTTTTCATGGGCGCATCGGAGAAGGCCGAGCCCATCTGCAGACCGTAGCGCAGGTTGTCCCCACAGCCACCCCATCTGAAGTCCGGACCGGCCTGTTCTGCAGGTGCAGGCCCGCATGAGCAGCTGGGTAGGTCCCCTGAAGCGCAGGCTCTGGCTATCGAATGGCTCACAACTGCGGCAGCCAGAGAAAAGACGAAGGCGGATTCCCTGGTTCCTGCAGGAGAGTATTCTCAGATGAGACTCCCCGACAAATGTATTTTTCATTCATTTACAAACAATAAGCAGTTTTAAATGGCACGTCCGATTTACAAACAGGCTAGTAAGCACGGTAAAATACTGGCTATTGCAAGAACAGTAGTAACTTGCATTTACAGGTAAGGTAACTGACATTTTTGCAGTTTTCGGTAGTTAAAAATTCTTGCTATAGACTTAACGCCTTTGCACGACTTACCTTTGGCTAAATCGGGCGTGAAATGCGGTGCGCTCTCAATGGAAGTACAGTTCCATCTCATGTCAGTGAAGGTCTTCTGGCACGTCAGTTTGGTGAGTTTAGCGGCGTGGACAATGCTCTGCATCAGCTCCAGATTCCTCCGGCAGAGCTGCAGCTGATCAGGAACTAGCCCGTCTAAAAGCTTGCAGTGGTGAGTCTGATTCCAGCCAACTGAGCTCCCGTTTACTGTAAGACCACTTAAATAAATGTTAAAACTCGTGTTAGGTGTAATGTTCATTCAATTATTAATATTTGGTTATTCACGTTAAACGAATACAGCATTATACCAATTACAAATGACCTATAATTCAGATTCATTTAAGTAAACATCGCCTTAAACATATTGTGGTTAACTGACTTGCATGCAAAAACACATACGTAAAATACGCGAATAAAAGCTGTTAAGAATACTTACAGCCAATGGATTGCTGTACAATACTCCATGCTGCTCACCAATATTAACAACACTAAAAAATGCATGCATTCCATTATTTTCAGGTGGTGGTGAGGTCAGAGCTTCGTGTGGTTTCCAGAATTTCTGTATAACACTCAGAATGCCTTTTCTTATCCAGTCCTGGGCAGTGTTGTAATCCAGATCATCACAATGATCAAATTCAGATTGTAGGATCCCGTTACAGTGTGAATGCCACGACTCAACTAGCAGTTGAGGACAGTCTCTCCAGTCTATGACCTCCGATCCTTTGAGTCTCTTTATATTGCCTACTTGCAAAAGCCACACCCCCTCCCCATTCAGTTGAATGAAACTTTTTCTCAGGTACATGTTCCCGTGGCAAGATAAAATCTTTCAATGGGTCTTATTCATGCCTGGAGCACTTCAAACACCGGGTTCTAGTAACATCAACAAGGGGGTTTAAGTCTCCTTTGGAAAGTGTCCCTCAACTCAGTAAACAAAAATTGAATTCATGCAAACGCTCTGAGTACAGAGATTTCCTAAAGCCATTAGGATATTCACTGCCGTTTAAGCATGCGTTGGTGAGGCTGATAGCTATGCTGTGGTTGTTTGCTTTAATAGCCAAGATTCTTTTTTTTTTCATACAACAACTAAGACATAATTGTGTTATAATATTTAATGATGTAATATCAATGCAATGTGTGGATAGTTATTTTAAAATGCGCTGCCAGTCCTGTCAATATATACAATCTAACCTTAGAATTATTCAGTTGTTTTTGCAGTTCGAAAGGTGAACCCAAATCACTTTGAAAGGTTTAGATTATTTCTAATTTACCTTATATATTACAATGCAGTGGCTTTGCAGTGATTTTTTTTTTGTTGTTGTACTGTTCTACAACGAATTATAATTTCCTCTACACACATAATAACTTCACGTCCTATGTTTTGCACAATGCATTGTACACTATACCAAAACTAGGAAGTATTGTAAAAACTGAGCGTCTAGACAAGCGGCCTTCAATGTTTATTTCCTTTAAGAAACTACCGAACATTTCGAGACGTGCTTGCTTCTGATTAACATAAACATTAAACCTCTAAATGGTGTTAGACAAAAGATTTCGAGGTGTTAAGGCCGCTGCAATCCAACTGGCAGTGATCTGAATATCTTTTGAAGATTCCTTTTGAAACCAGAGATACACTCCTGCAAAATCTACATAAGAATAGGATTTAACAGGGTAAACAACTCGGTGGCGCTATTCCTCTGGACACACTACCCTTTTAATGCTTGTTAACAATCACAATTTTCGTATTTACGAAAATTACGTGTATATAATTTTCGTATATACACGGGCACAAAACAGCTACTACGTTATATAAGCACACGCATTTTAGAATAAACTGCTCTTATTATAAAATAATTTGACTGACTTTTTAATCGATATACATGGAGATTTTACTGGGTTATTTTACTAAGCATTCTCAAGCGACGTACGAAGCAGTGCACCCACTTGAAAAACTGAACCGTTGCTCGAGTTTGTGATGTTGTTTGAGGGTGTTTATTCCGAGAGTAAAATAATCTAATCAGTAAAAAGAAAGACTGTGGGTATTCAGAATTCTCTTTCATATTCTTGAATTTTCTCCAGTATTTTCTCCAGTATTTCAAATGTACATCCGTAAAAACATGGTTGGTATCTAAATCTCAACATAGTCGAATATATAAAAAAATGTATACCACAAAAAAAATGTTAAATTTGTGGCTTTATTTTATATATAGTTCATTATATTGCTTATAGAGCCCACCAAGCCGTCAGATCACATTAAAAATAAATTTGAACTGCACACAGAATACATTTTGTGCGTGTGTATATGCATCTGTTCTGTGGGGGCGCTCTTGATCCCAAATCCTTGTTCAACAATAGTGGATTTATTTCTTCACAAAAGAGCGCAATCTATATCTTCCCTTCTTGTTTAGAATCCACTAGAAGACCGCAGTTTTCTCCTGCAGTCGTGGGGTTTATACTTATTGTGACAGATCAATATGTATCAATAAGTAAGCAGGCCTAAGCGTTATTTACTAATCTTCTCGAGACAGGCAGGACGATTTAATTGGAAACTGAAACTGCGTAGTGTAGTAAAAACAATATACATAACGTCTGAAAACCCAAAAAACATTAACAGAATACATGAATATGAACATGAACATAAAACTGAATATATATACACAAGAGAGCACGTATGAGCTGCAATATTCAAAATACTGAATTATCAACCAAGCGCGTGTCGGCTCGTTGGTCTAGGGGTATGATTCTCGCTTAGGGTGCGAGAGGTCCCGGGTTCAAATCCCGGACGAGCCCTATTTTTCTTTTTCTTTAAAAGGTGAACTGCTTAAAACATTTTCACAGATGTGTTTGAGGCATGTAATTTTGCTAAATGACTCGTAAATATGTATAAAACCTCAAAGAGGACAAGAGCTAGAAGCTGTGCTTTTTGAGACATAAGCATCATTCTTATCTGTCAATTTCTAAGTTACCTTTGTCCAAAACACCATCCACAAAGAGTTATTTTTAACACGGATTCTAAGCATTCATCAAAACTATAACGTGTATAGCTTTAAAAGTGTCTAGTTAATTCCTGTTAATGTAACAAGCACGTTTTAATTCGGTTAAAAGAGAAGCTTTCTCTTCTTTGGATTAAGAAAACGTTCTTTTAATTTCAAACTTAATGGTCTGTCGTTTGTTTTTCTGAGGAACAACATAGCTTTCTTTGTGAACAACAGTGCGCTAAGGAATTGTGCATACTGTATTAACCTTAACTGTTTATTTCCAGTCACTGATTTCTGAAGATGAAACCACATTTCATCTTTTGACTTTTGCTTTGCTCACTTTAACACTTGTAATAAAGTACATCTTTTGGGAGTGCGGTGTTTTAAGATAGATCTTTCAACGTTCATATTTAGAAACATTATTTTGGATTCTGTAGTAAAATGTTACAAGATTAGCATACGCGTTCACAAGAAAACGATGAGCCGCAAAAAATACGTTACAGTGGCAATATTTAAATGATTTATTCACAATGAGAAAGCAAAATATGTACATAGCGTTCTAGAAAACGAATACATATTTAATGGAAACGTCTAAGTGTGTTTAAAATTTAAACATTTTCAATATGTTTAAAAACATTAGCGTCGACGACAGCACAACTTTGCAAGTTAAACAGGTCCATGTAAATATCACAATAGGCAATTGAAAGCAGTAGAAGAATTTTACACGTTTCGTATCGATGACACATCTTTGCAAGTTTCAGTGAGCACACAAGTGCTAACGAGTTTCTCACCTAAAGTACCGGTTGGTATTGATAATGTTCTAAGACACTCTAATGCCCATAAAGCTGTTGTAGTATCACTCTACGTCGTTTTTCACTTTAGCAGTTTTGTAACGATGCATGCACACGGGAAAGAAAATGCCAACACCAAAATACATTTCACACTTGCACCGAAGAATTCCAGCCCACCAAAGGATACGTCTCATTCGTCACGGGTTATACTTGACTGTTCTTCCTTAAAATATTCTATATTTTACTGTGCTTTCACCGTTTTATTTCTTAAGACGTACTTTAAAATTTGGAGTCTCAGGTTTAAATTACACGCATGGGTATAATCACGTAATAAATGCAAAGCGTTTTAACATAAAATACACTTACGACAGAATAATTCATGATATTTATATATACAATCTTTTTTATGTTTAAAGAGAAAGTAATCTTGCTTCGTAATCCAATATAAGAGAACATTGAAATGCATGCACTTATTGTTAACACTGCAAACATTGCAAAGCATTTCACGCCTAGGAATACTCCGGTCTACGTTTCAGTCTTAGAAGTTTTATTTTTTTTTACTGTACAGAACAATGCTGAATGCGCTCATTCTCAAACGTTTTGAATCTTTCGTTTTAAACGTTTTTTCGTTTTGTGGTATTAACCTGGCATAAATGTGTATACCCAATATCGTTTTAGCTTTTGGGTTAAAGGCTTTGTTTGGGAACAACACAAGCCCTATTTGCCACTTTGTATCAATGAATAGCCAAGTTCAGTTAAAAAAGTACCCCCTTACACCACCCTTCAACAAGAAAGACTCCTGTATATAAAAGACTTTAGTCTGTCTGATCCACAGGAAGGATTTGAAGTGGTTAATTTACTGTAGGTAAGCACTGAGTTTAGGGATTAATGTTTGAAAGAGAGCCTTTATAGAAAATGCTAGTAGGATCTTGATTTTTACCACAGGGTTTATTTACTCCTCTGTTTATCTTACTTTCATTATACTCACACTGTGAGTGAAGCCTGCTCTGTCCTCTGAGGTGTCCTTACCAGAAAACCTGGAAAGTAAATACCCTATTGCTGTCTTAATTACCGTTAATGAGAACATTAAAGGAGCTCATGTTAAAACATATTGGGTTCTGAGATGCCTGAAGCTACCCCTGTGTTTATAGAGAACCAGGGGGTTCTAGACATGTAATTTGGTCTCCTCTAATTCCAATGCGACTGTTAATTACAGGATTTGCGTATAAACTCTTCTGATTTTCACACCAGATCTAGTCCAGAAATCCTGGTTATCTCAGCTCTCTTTGAAACAAATTGATTTTATAGTCTTGAATGGTCTGAACTGTCTGGACGTTTCTTCAAATCTGCTTATATAGGGCTTTATACATTCACACTACACTTGCAGTCATGTACTTAATTTAAATAGGGCAAAACATTAAAACCAATCACTGGCTGTGGAGATGCTTTATGGGGTTAATCTTTCCAAACAGTATAACAATCCCTTAACGCTTAACAGAATACCCTTTTTCCTCAATGCATGCTAAAAGCTGTTTGTGTGAGAATCCTGTGACGGAGTAAACATTTAGGTTTGACTTGTTGCTTCTTAGTTGTGTGGATACTTATCTATCAAAAAATAAACTAAAATGGAACATCTCAATCTGAAAATTAATACAGTAAATGTCCATCTATTGAATTCAGTTCTCTGGATCTGAAAGAGTACTAAACTAATATAACTAATAATAATGGTTTGGTTTAGAATAGTCTTACAATTAATCAGTTGGCTATCTGATTTAAGATACATGTTTTTTTCCCACTATGTTATTTTGAAAATATTTATGTGAAGGGGAGGGGAAAGTTGAAAGAACTTTGTAAAGTCAAACTTTAATGACAACAACACTGTGTTTTAATTTTTTAGAATTCATTATGGGTTATCAACAAACA